CATGCATTTTTTTGCGTCTAAAATAAAATTCAAAAAAAAATATCTCTGCAATAGTGTCTTGAGGACCTCTGATATAATTATTAACTTGATCGGATGAGATTTAAGGGGTCGTAATATGACGCAATGAAGTCCGATAGCAAAAAAATAGTTTTCGATAAAAAACGCATTTTGTACACAGGTCACTTTTTTTCAAAAATGCAAAAAAATGCGTGACTTTCAGCATTTCTGGCATATCTGGAGAAGGAAAGCATATTTTTTGAAAAGAAAAAAAATTAACCTGAGATAGGGTTTCAAGTATCTGTGGTCAAATTTCGAGCTCGATCGGACCATTTTTTCGAGGGGTCGTAATGTGACTGGATGAAAACCAAAGTTTTCTAGAAAACCCATAGAAGAACATGTCACAAAATTCTGTGCAAAAATACATCGATTTTCTTTTTCGATGTTCTATCTCTGTTATAAATTTTACCCCAATCCGACATCGGCGTCCCCCGTTTCCAAGAGGGCCAAAAAAGAGGAGGAGAGTACCCTTAATTATCTAATTATGCGTGTGTTTTTTCTAACTGATTGATATTTCTTTCACGACTCTTCAACCAACCCATATAATATAAAAAAGCTTGGTATTCTTTAATAAGATAAAGAGATAAGATAGTGAGCCATCTGATAATAAGTGGTATGACATTTAATTAGTAATTATGTTGTAGGGTTTTATTCCTTTTTAATTATTAAATGATCATAGAAAAAAGGTATCTTTTAATTTTCATACAATCTCAATGTTTACTCAACGGAGTGTACTGAAACAGTGCATAAGATAAAAAAGCTTTTGTAATTCTTATCAGTGAAGAAAAAAAGAATGTTTTTTCTCACTATATATACGACGCATGTCTTACTTTGAATTCTTCAACTACAGTGAGAGCTATATGATATTAATCTAAAGGCAACTATAAGTTGTAATTTATCTATAGGCGGTAGTAGTGATTCCGTTTTTTTTGAAATTTTAAAAAATGAGACTTTTTTCTGAACACATAGATTTATCGCTTTTGTGTGTTTTTTAGACAAAGAATGATATTACCAAAGAAATTCATTTATGATATTTTACCAAAATCGCCCGTAGCATTTATCGGAACTCTTGTTGATATTGTTGATCATAATCAAACAGGTTCATTACATTCCTATGATTTAACATTTGAAAATATACAATTACTACGCGGAAATATTGTTCAAGAAAAAGCATTTTTGTACCGAAAACAAAGTCATCCAATAACAGAACAAAATGATGAACAACGAAAATTAGAATTAAAGCGTGAATATCTTGCCTGTTTAAATAATTCAACCACAATTCATTCATTATTTGAAATTGATTTTATTAACGATGCAGCAGAACTGGTACAAATTGCAGGATTACCCGTTGGTTGGTCAAAACAAACAGACGAATATTTCTCACCTTGGAAAAATCATCATCGAAAATGGTGGAGCTCATCATCAGATACGTTTAAAAATGTTCCAAAATGTAATGATTGTCAACGACCAGCACTGACAACGGGTAAATTAATTTATCTTCTTTTACTTACGGCATACCAAAAGAAATGAGATTTGCAGGTAAAACCCCACAGACTAGATATAATTAAGTTTTCACTTCGGCAAGTATTTAAACTAGTAGACATGATTACCGATGCACAATAAATTTGTCTCAAGACATTTGCTGAAAGTTTTTTTCGAATCATCGTTGATTGAAAAATTGAGTATTTTGGTTACAACATTGCATACAATTAAGAATTATTTTGATCGGTTAATTTTCTTAGACATAGCCAACTAAAGAAATATAGCGAATACATAAAGTGGTCTTAGGTCACAAGTTCTATATTTGACACACATAAACGAACTTGAATTCTTCGAATTAGAAGGATTGCAAGAGAGGAATCTCTACCAACTACAGTGTGGCGCAACAAGTTAGCCTCACAATAATGTTTCATGCCTTTTCTCAAACTAACTATCCAAATACTCTTTAAAAATAGACAGATACGGAAAGAGAGCAATTCCCTAAAACTACTTATAAAGGCAGTGAAACAGTAAAGATCATTAGATAGTGTTTCGAACATCGAAAGTCATTATGACAACGTTCAATCGTATATTCACAAAACTATTTTTTAGTATTTCGCATCAAAACGTATCTAAATATTTTATATTCATCGTATTCTACGGATCAAATACTACGTGGTTTGCGGGTGTTCTATCTAATTCATAAGCTTAATAAATCAAACGACCTTGAATCACTGCATTGAGTGCTGTAACAAAATTGATGCATTTTTCAATCAAAAATGATTCGAAAAAAACTTGTTTTGAAATAAATTTATTATGCGTGGGTAATCCTGTCTACTAGTTTCAAATACTTGATGAAGTGAAAACTTGATTACCTATAGTCTGTGGGGTTTTACCTGCAATCTCGTTACTTTTGGTATGCCCTAATACAATAATCTAATAGAAATCAAACAGAAAATCATCTATTCTAGGTGATAGTATTACTATGTCAGTAAAACGAGTAGATAATAAATCCCAATTTGAATTAACTGTTACAAACACTAGTGATAAACCTGTTCAGATTCCAGCATTAGTTTGTGATAAACAATCCAAAATAATACTATGGCATGATTCAATATTTGTTATGTCAAATCTAAATAATGATCAACATTTTTTTCCTAAGACAAACGAATCAGACGAAGTAGAATGTGTTGAACTTGGTCCATATCAAAGTATAAGTATAATATTGGACATAACAATGCTCAACAATTTGATTTTAGAACAGGATGATACAGATATAAGTTTAATCTTTTGTTTAGGTGAAAAATCAGCGGAAATTAATTTATAAATTGAATAACACATATTTAAACATTAGATATGTACACGATTTTCTTTTTATTATATTTCATTTTTGTCTTGTGCTCAAATCTTTAATAATGATATTTATTTACTCATAAAAATAATATGACGGACTGTTATAACTATTTGGCTTCGTAACGGTCCTTGTAGGAAGAGGTGGAAAAAAAGAGGAACAACAAGAACTTTTTAAGAGGAGCGTAGGGAAAAGAGGAATCATTTTTTTGGTAAAAAACGATTCTGATAATGTTGTGTACATGTCAAAGTGGCTTAAGATTCTCAAAGAAATGATTTCATCCAGCATAAAGTATTTTTCCGTATTTCACGCGTTAAAAGCTGAGTAAAACACAGTAAGAAGGAGTTATTCTAGTTGAAACACATTGGTTTTTAATTCTTCGTATTGTGTAAGCAACTTCTCACATGAGCTTTCTCATTTTGATGTTGAATCTATAAATAAACACAAATATTTTCACTGGTTTGGCACTAGTTTGTTCGTTTGGCGCCTGTTTCAAGTTAGTGATTGATTATAACCATGAATTCGCTCTAGTCCGTTTAACTCGGCAGAAATGATTTCTGATTTTGTCTATTCGATATTTCCTAGTACATTTTGATGTGCTTTAATTGTTGATAAGGTTAGTTTGAATTATTCGTAGAAAATAGCTTTCGAATTTGTAGTTTTTAGCGAACATTGGGGGGGGGGGGGGGGGGGAGGGGGGGGGGGGGGGGGGGGTTTGGGGGGGGGGGGGGGGCGGGGGGGGGGGGGGGGGGGGGGGGGGGGGGGGGGGGGGGGGGGGGGGGGGGGGGGGGGGGGGGGGGGGGGGNCCCCCACCCCCCCCCCCCCCCCCCCCCCGGGCGGCCCCCCCCCCGCCCAAAGGAGCTGGTGTTTCGTCGTTTTTCAGTCTTCAATCAATTTCTAATAAGCTCGAATGTGCACATATACCATGCAAAATATATTTCGATGTGTCTCGATTTTTCAGTTCATGTCAAAATATGACTTAGTATTTGGAAAGAAAATTTTAGTCCGTACAAACGATATCTTTCGTCCTAAAAAATCGTTTTTCACTTCGTCCTATCCGTCTCAACGAAGATTCATAAAACAAATAAAAATCTTTTGTTGATATCGATTCTGATTCGAAAATGAATTTTTTTTCAAAGATGGTCCACTGTACGATGGGAATATTTTGTTGTGAAGCACTGATACAAAAAGCGTTATTTTTGTACGTGTTTTACCAGTATCATACTGGCTTTTATATCTGAATTGCTCATTTTTTTGAACAATAACTTTTTTTGTTGAAAATTCGACCATTGAAACCGGTTTCATCACAACTAAATATCTGTGGAAGTTTATTGGCAATATTATGTTTGATAAAAACTATTTCTTAAGAGACGGTTCGGCAGCCCATCCAGAAATCAAGTCACGAGTGAAAAATTGACATATACATTTTATTTCATATTCGGATTCTACTATCAAAACTGGGGTTATGAAAAATATGAAAAAACTTTCTGACTTATTCTGGCTGACTTATAGAGTTTACAAAATGAGCAACATCGTCGATTTGCGAAAAGTAGCCATCTCTGATGTTTTGACTATAACTCTCCCACGTTTTATTCGAGGAACATCGCATTCGAAAGCCTGATAAAAGTGAACAAAATTACATAGTTCCTAATTTTTCTGAAGAAGGACGTGACTGTTTAAAATCCACATCAATTGGAGAACCAGAATTTTGAAGGGTAGAACTTGAAAATGCCACTTTTGGCCATCTAAACAGGATTTCGTTAACAATTCGAAGGTCACATGCGATAGAGAATTTAATTTTCCACAAACTCACAGCAAAAACTTTATTTTAAAAGTAGTGCAAAAGTTTCAAAACTTGAAAAGAAGAGGGCAGACTGACCACAAGTTTTCAGTTTTTTGAGATTTTAGTCATTAAAACTTCACTTAAGAACAAAAATAAGATAATATTTGGAATCAGCGTCAAAAACTGCATCAGATGATGTGCCTTTGAAAGCTTTTAGAGAAATGAAAAACGTTGTCAAAATTTGCTTGGAAGCTGAACATCAAAAATCGAAAAAATGATTTGTTACTCTCTACTAAAATCTAGTAGGGTTTACGAGGGTCTACAACTGTTATTAGGATCTAATTCATCCTGAGACACTCTCACTTCGGTGCTGCATGTGTGTGTGTGTACGAGTGCGTCAGTGTTCCGTGGCACGTTCACATCTGTGGTGCGTGTGTATGTTTCGCTCCATGGTAGACCCGGGCACTCAGGTGATGTGTTTACCCTCACCCTCATCAAGGTGTTGGCCTTTGTGTGTGTGTCTTCGTCTTCACCCTCAATCCAGTGTGTGTGTTGTCCTTCGCACCCCCACCTATGCGGATAACAACAGAATCAAATGACTTTCCGCGAATACATACCTAGTTTCCAGCACGTTCATATTGTTTCTAGCAACTACGGCGGTATCCTTGAAAGGTGTTTGATTTCCGGAAACTCATCCGATTTCTTGGAAAGGCATATAGAGCATCATATGAAGTTTAAGCGAAACGCTTGAACATTGCACAGTGGGCATCCAAGCGGACATTAGGCCGAAAATTCAAATAATTCGTATATCAAATATAAATAGTGTAAAATGTAGCCCTTGAAATTCTCTATCGAATGGTGTATAAATGTCTATTGTGAAAA